CGTGCCTGCAGTGTGACAACCTAAGTAAAGAATTATTCCATGGAAAGGGCCCCATCAGCCACAGAAGCATGAAGAAGCTGGAGGCAGAGAGTCGTGTGCTGACAGTGTCCATCCTCAGAACAACCAGGGAAGAATTTTAATCATTAGGCCTCCATTCCTCTGGGACCAGTGGCAAGGCTTTTCCTCAGCAGAACCAGTTGGCAGAAGTTTTAATTTAGTTTTTTGGTGGCAGGACACAGCACACCAACACCATGGTGGGAGGAGAGAACTAAGTTGAAAAGGGTTTGAGAAGAAAATTCAGTCAAATGTGAATGGCTACACAGGGGCTACACTTAAGAGTCAGGGTAACACAGGCTTGAGCTATCATGGGCCACTTAGTACAGCAAGTGGTGGGGGTTGCCAGATTTCCACAGGCTCTAGGGCATAGGGGGTGTCCCTCCTTGTCTGGTACCTGGCCCCAGGGTGGGTGAATAGGGCTGGTACATAGTAGCCTAGAGTGTGAGAGACCTGATAAAGGAAGTGGTTGGGGGTATGGACTTAATCATCTGCTTAAGAAGGGTAACTCACTGGCTTTTAGTTAGGGCCTCAGAACTGGATCAAGATAACATTTTTTTTTAAAGTTGTATTTCACAGAATGGTTTTATCTTGCACACATACTCAGATCCACCACCCAGAGCCCAGAGTTGAAAGGAATCTGAGCACAAGATCGGTGGAGTAGAATGCTGAGGGGTTGTTGGGTGATGCTTGGATGAGCATGGGGGCAGTAAAAGCCCCACCAGCCACAGGTCTGCTGACCCAGATGTTAGACAGTTGTTGTCTTGGATTCAAGTGCTACCCAAGAGCAAGGGCAAGGTCCTCCCTATAGTGAAAAAGCGACATTAGCTGTCTCTGCCACATGCTTAGAGTAGTTGAGTAATCTCAAAAGGAGTCTACTCTGGGCCGAGCCCGTGGCGCACTCGGGAGAGTGCGGCGCTGGGTGGGTTCGGATCCTACATAGGACTGACCAGTGCGCTCGCAGCGCTCACTGGCTGAGTGCGGTGCGGCCGGTCTTGAAAAAGGACAAAAAAAAAAAGGAGTCTACTCTTACTCTTTTTCGCTACATCTCTTTATTTCCTTCATAGCCCTTATGCCAACTTGCAATTATATATTTATTAATTATACAAACATATGCTATATTTATTATTATTTACATATTTATTTAAATATTTTATTTATTTATTTGTTTATTATCCATTTTTCTCACTAGAATATTAACTCAGATGAGAATTATATTGACCAAAGTAAACCAGTACCTAGTAAAATGGCTCTTTCAGTGCCCACATTCTATAAATATTTGTCAAATGAGTAGGTAAACAAAAAAAAAAAAAAGAAAGAAAGAATAAATGGATGAATTTTACTGTTCTCACTCACCAAGCAGTTTTTTGATCCTCGTGGAGCTCTTTTATAGGAAAACACAGCATCTTCACCATGCTGCCAGGAGTATGCCTGGTATTTCACATAAAATCATAGCTTTATTCCAGTGAGTGCCTTATTCTAATGTGTAGTTCAGTTAACATAGGGTATGCGCTCAGGGACTGTCCACCTCTAGGCACAGTAAAGAATGAGTCTCTAGCTAAACAGAGGCTGGATTCAGGCAGCACCCTCTTTCACCCTTAGGAGCAGTTAAAAAACAACTGGTGTTTGGTATTTCAACAGTCACAGTTTCATGCTGACACTACAGAAATTGAAACAGCTCCCCCAGTCTCGAACTTTTTTCCCTACTTACAATTTCTACCAAACTGTCAGCAAAGTCACCATATTTAATACTAACACATGGGTTCTTAGGTTATTGGGTTAAATAAAATCTGCTGGAGCTTAGAAGATTTTTCTACGTTGACTTTCATCCTTGCTGCTTAATTAAATCCTTCACGTGGGAAAGAGTGATTTTCAGCCATCTCGCTCTCTGTAGCATCAGCATGAAACTGTGACCATTGAGATACCAAACACCAGTTGTGTGTAATGCTTCAGGTGCAACAAGCCTGTTATATTTGGAATCCTCAATGAAGACAGATATTAACTAAGGCAGCTCTACTTAGGAGAAAAATAAACTGACATTCACTCTCACCAGGTTAAGAAAACTCTCCTTGTTTCAGCCATTGAGATAGTGGTAGGAGGCATCCGACTGCTTGCCTGCTATAGATATTAACTGAGAATTGAAAATGACAGCAAAGGAGATTGAATCAGAATAGCAAAAGGAGCAAACAAATTTACTTCCCCTCTTGCTCCAATTCCTAAAAACGGAAAAAAATATATATCTTTTTTTTAAGAATACACCTATAACAGTACTACTTGAGAATTGAAAATGACAGCAAAGGAGATTGAATCAGAATAGCAAAAGGAGCAAACAAATTTGCTTCCCCTCTTGCTCCAATTCCTAAAAACGGAAAAAAATATATATCTTTTTTTTAAGAATACACCTATAACAGTACTACTAAAAAAAAACAAGAAAGATTACCGTGAGAGAACCATAAATCTTGGGAATTTCCTGGCAGACTGCAGCAAATGCAATTGAGTTGAGAACAGTGAAGATGACCAGAGATCAAAGAATGCTCATGAAAAAAACAGATGTAGGAGCACATTCAAAGAGACCCTGACCACACAGCAAATCCATTGAAGAGTATGAGGGGGTCTGCAGCAGGTGGATTGCATTAATGGCCCTAATTCATCATCCCCCCCCCCCGTATTCATGCCCTTTGCCATGAGACTCTGCAGTCTCTCACTACAGAGGTGGAGCCTACTACCCCATCTCTTGAGTCAGGACTGGCCTTGTGACTCGCTTTGGCCAATAAAAAGAGGCAGGAGTGACTTGTATCGATTCTGAGGCTTGATTTCAAAGGGCTCATGTGTTTTGCATGTTTCCATTTGCTGCTCTTGAACCTCTACTATTGCCATGAATGTCCAAACTGGCCTTCTGGAGCATGAGAAACATGGCATAGAGTGACATCACCCCAGCCAAAAGCTAGCCACACCCAGGCATGTGAGTGAGCCATTGGGGTTTTGTGACTGTTTATTACAAAGCATAATTGTGGCAAAATATTAGACTCCCAACAGTGTTCATAATACCACATGACTGCTTATAATGAGAAATTGGCTATTACACAGCATAATTGTGGCAAAACATTAGACTCTCAACAGTGTTCATAATACCACATGACCGCTTATAATGAGCAATTGGCAGCGATGGTATTTGTTTCCAAAATTAAACCAATACCTGCACTCCAATTCCTAAAGAAAGGAAACTCCATGCCTAAGGAGGGCTCCTATGTGGGCACAGAAGGCTAAGAAAGAAGAAAAATTGTGTTGAGATAACTCTGAACCTCTAGACCTTCTAGAGGGTAGGGAGAAAAGGCAGCTCTACTTAGGAGAAAAATAAACTGACATTCACTCTCACCAGGTTAAGAAAACTCTCCTTGTTTCAGCCATTGAGATAGTGGTAGGAGGCATCCGACTGCTTGCCTGCTATACTTTCAAGTAACCAACAATGAGATGCATCAAAGGACGCACTCTCCTCCCTTAAACAGAGCCTGTAAACAGCCCTCAAGCTTGGGAGAAAGACCCATGACAGAGACCAGATGTATGTAATAGCAGACAAGCCTGCCCAGAGGCCCACACTCACCTACCTCCATTTTCGGTCATTAATAAAAAGAGACAACCAAGAAACACCCTTGACATGCAGGAGAAGTTTCATGGAGCAAATAAATAATTCAGTAAAGGAAAGAAATATGGTTTTAAAATATATATCCTCAGAAAGGTCTATTATAATATTGCATCCATGATAAAAAGTGACTTTCAGAAATCTTTCAGAAAATAATAAAAAATAAGAAGAAAGAAAACTTGCAGAAAACAATAAAGAGTCCTTGAAAATTGATTTTTTTTTCTAAAAGTGTTTTCTAAAATTGTTTCTAAAAATTTCTCGGTATTATGGTAGATAATGGAAGAGACAAACCAAAATATAAAATAAATTATTAAGAAGATAAAATTGAGACAAATTTTAAGAACATAGAGAAAAAACAAGGTGGTAAATGTGTAAGAAAGACACAGTAGAGGATGGTGAATTCAGAAAGGCTAACATGTGCTCACTAGAAGTTCCAGAAGGAAAGAAGAGAGAAAATGGATGTGAGAAAACAGTAAAAGAAATAGAGAAATTTTTCCCGAAGTGAAAAAAAAGTCTTCAGATTGTAAAAGCTTCAGTAAGTGCTGAGCAAAAGAATTAAAACACACACACACACACACACACACACCCCTGGATGTGAAAATAAAATAAGAACTGGCAAATAAGCACCACCTCTACAACAGCACCACCAACAAAAACACGTAAGCCTTCAGTAAAACCCAAGTAATTCTTGATGAATAATGTAAACACACACGTACACAAATCTAAAGCAAAATTATATCAGCTTAAAAGATAAAAGGTGGCAGGCAGGGAAAGTGGCATTAAGCAAAAGTGTGCTAGTTTCGAGAAGGCACTGAGAAGATGAGATATAGATAACGATAAAGATAATGGCTGATTCTAGATGTCAATACTAAACAAAAAACTACTTATACATATCTACATATAAATCTCAGTGCATGGGGAGGTGTGCATCTAGAAGGACACACAGGGAGGGCATGGGAGGAGGATTGTGGGGCAGAAGATGGGCTTGTACCCTGGGCTTGTACCTTGAAACTTATCAACTTCTAAATTTTGGGGGTTTTGCAATAAAAATATGATCATTTATGTATAAAAATAAAGGTAAGGGTCATTTTTTAAAATGCAGTACAGAAATTATGCTTGCTTTCCTTGTATAATAAGGCTATATTCTTGGGTGTAAAGAACTGGTAAAAGTCATGTTTACTTTACTTCTACTTACTTTAGGATTAATTGTACAAATGAAAAACTACTACTTCCAACTTTAAAGTATCATATTTTTCTTTTTCTCTCTCTCTACTTCCCCATCCAACTCATTCATTCTTTATTTTAGGCCAGGAGACATGATTACTCTTCTAGAGGATTCTAATGAAGACTGGTGGAAAGTAAGCATTTCTCATTCTTTAAAAAAAAAATCGTTTGGTAACATAATGACAATAAATGCAACAATTGTGGATGCATTCCTGTTTTTTCCTTTCAGGGGAGAATTCAAGATAGGATTGGCTTCTTTCCAGCCAACTTTGTTCAGAGAGTACAAGAAAATGAGAAGATTTTCAGATGTGTTAGAACCTTCCTCGGGTGTAAGGAACAAGGGCAGATAACACTGAAGGAGAATCAGGTGAGTGAAGCACACAGCACACACCAGATATGACCAAAATAGAGCAGCAGTCATTGTAACAAACGCAAGACATACAGGTCTGAATGAGAGGAGTCACAGTCGAAGTATTCACTCTGAGACAAGATACTTGTGTACTCATGCCTATGATGTCAGTGTACTGGGACCTGAACGTGCAAAACCGAAATATGAGCAATCTGTTCACAAGAGGAAATATCCATGACTTCATGGTGGCAGGGTGAGGACAGCCGGTCCCCATGCTTCTCTCTGAGGACCACTGGTCTCTGACATGGGCAGCTACTCTAGTTTGGGCTCTGTGTGGGTGTTCACCAACATGGGGGTCATTCTTCCTGGTCTCTTGGGAATCCTTTGCTGTTACTTGCTATGTGTTCCAGGGTTCCCTGCATTCGCCTCCAGTCATAAGCACCCCTCTTAGGTCTCCTTGCCCAAACCTCAAGCCTCTCTGCTTGTTCTCTGAAGCCCATGACACCTTCATATCACTGCATAAGACATGGAAAAAACATACATAACCAGAAACTATCTCCAGCCCATGAGCTGGACATCTCCCTACATCTGCTCTAGAGTTGTCTGGCACCATCTTGCTCCAGTGCCACGTTGAATGTGGAGCTCTTTATAATGTACATTTTCCTGAGAAGTCAGGAACCCCCTGCACCTGTGTGTCTGTAAGCCTCTTGCTTCTTACTCTTCCATCTCATCCCTGGAATATTGATAGAGACAAAGAGACAGGAACTCACAGCTTGACTCTTTGTCCTACTCTTCCTCTCTTTGTTTTTCCCCAGCAGACAGACGGCTTCCCACCACCCCTTCTCCTCTGACTGCAGCTCCCTTCGTGTCATGTCCTGTGTTCTCACTACAGAGTAAAATAATATGCTCAGACCTCTACGTTTGTTCTTGATATATTAGGGGAGGACTTGGGGAATTAGAAACTAGAAATTTCTTTTCTCTCCCAATAAAGTCTCAGTAGACTTCAATTTCCAATTTTAGAGGTCAAAAGCTTACTTCTCTTTCTTTCTGCATTACTAGTATAATTCTAATATTTCCCAAGGCAACAAATGCTTGTAGTTGAAAATAATGAGGCTTACCCAACAAAGAAGCACAAAATGAAAAATGCATTAGTAATATTTTAATACTAGCTCTGTCCAGTAGAGTTGCCCAGAATACGTCTTGAATATCTTTCATAGAATTGTCTTCAAAGATAGTTTCTAAGTCCCACAAGGAAATTAGTCATTACTTTAAAATTGTGTTTGATATGCAATTTTAAAAAATTGTTTTACCTAAATTTACCAATATTTTATGTGCCACATGTGGCCCCAAATGACTTTACCATTTCAAAGTAGCAAATATACCTTCAAAGAATAAGATTTGCCTTTTCTTTATGGCTATTTAAAAGAATTTCTAGGGCTGGCCCGGTGGCGCACTGGAGAGTGCGCCGCTTGGGAGCACGGCAGCACTCCTGCCGAGGGTTCAGATCCCATGTGGAGACCGGTTCCCGCTCACTGGCTGAGCGCGGTGCGGGCGCAACACCGAGTGTTGAAATCCCGTTGCCGGTCCCCGGTACGGGTGCGACACCAAGGGTTGCAATCCCGTTACCGGTCAGTAAAAAAGACAAAAAGGAAAAAAAAAAGAATTTCTAAAAGAAATATCTAAAGAAAAATTATAATATAGAGGAACAGATTTTTTAAAAAGTTTAATTCCCCCTCCTCTTATAAGAGGATACTTCAAAAGTTGATGGAAAGATTCATATTACCTTTTAATTCTCTTTTTTCTTGAACTTTTTGAAGTACCTTTGTATTTAAATAAAAATTATTGAAAATGAGACAACAGTAATGCTAAGTATTACTTTCCCTACATATTTTAACAAAGGTAGGGGATGGAGTTGGTGGATAATGTTAGAACCGAGGCAGTTCAGATGAGGTTATGGTAATATTATGGACAGAATACTAGAATATGGACCTAGATCCTCAATCACTGCACTCCCAAGGTAAACACAAAGGGGGAGATGCAGATGGGGCCTAAAGCCCTATCTTTATTCTCAAAACCATAGTGAACCAGAGTACCAGATGTGATCTAGGGACCTAAAATGCTCCTTACCACAGCAACACCCTCCTTACTGTTATTACTACCACCACTGGCTGGGCTGAGTCTCAGAAAGGAGTGGGGAGGTAGTTTTTAGCCAGGTGGCCAGCTCTTGCCTCTAATGCAAAGAAAGTCCAAAACAACAGGTGGATAGTCATGTGTGGAACAGACTGCTTAGGAGAAAACAACAGAATCCAGCAAAATAGTGAGGAAGACTCCCCAAGATGTGTGGCAGTATAGAAAGACAAGTGAGGCACCCAACTGAGTCTAGGGAGAAGCCTGGAGAGACTACTTGCTGCTGGGAGAAGGTAAACAGGTTGGAATTCCCGATGGTTGGCACTCTGGCTGCAGATGCCAGCAATCCAAGCTGCAGGGGAACCATGCAGCCCCTGCAGGCCATGAGCCTAGTGCAGGGAGCTGCTTGGAGCTCACGCAACTGCATTCTTCCAGACAGGGAGCTCACAGAGGCCTCCCATTCCACGGCCCAGGACTGCAGCAGCATGTGACCATTTGGGGATAGAGACAACACCAGAGTGCATTTCACCCTGAGGCCCAAAAGCCCTGGCATCTCCACATTCCAAAGGTCCCCTTATCACACCAGGACTCTGGCACCCAGGCCTATGTGGCACCATGCACTTCTGGGAACAGACATTCCAATACAGTGCAGAGGCCACTCCCTGGACAGACGGAGTCAGTACTTGCATTTTCTGGGGCCAAGATCTGATCGACTGAGGCTGAAATCCAATAGATTGGGGCCTTCTGCCACTGCTGGCTGCCCTGCTTCCTTTGGTGAGGTGTCTTTCACCTCTCCCAAGGACACAATCCCACCCAACTTGGTGAACCCACCAGAGCCATCCACTTCAGCTGGGCAACTATGGAGGGCCCACCCACCTACCCTAGGGGCACAAAAATATAAAATACCCAGGAACGAATTTAACCAAGAAGATGAAAGACCTTTACAATTAAAACTACAGTGCACTGATGAAAGAATCTAAGGAAGACACACACACACACACACACAAAAAAAGCAGAAAGACATTCCATGTTCATAGTTGGAAGAATATTGTCAAAATTACCATAGTACACAAAGCAACCCACAGATTCAAAGCAATTCCTGTCAAAATACCAATGACATTCTTCATAGAAATTTTTTTTTAATCCTTAAATTTATATGGAACAACAAGACCCTGAATAGCCAAGGCAATCCTGAGCAAAAAGAACAAAGCTGGAGGCATTGCACTACTTGGCTTCAAATTCTACTACAAAGCTATAGTAATCAAAATAGCATAGTACTGACATAAAAACAAATACATGGACCAATGGAACAGTATAGAGAACCCAGAAATAAATCCACATATCTTAGCCAACTGATCTTTGACAAGGGTGCCAAGAGCATGCACTGGGGAAAGGACAGTCTCTTCAACAAATGGTGCTGGGAAAACTGGACATCCATTTGCAGAAAGAAGAAACTAGACCCCTACCTCTCACCATATACCAAAGTCAACTCAAAATGGACTAAAGACTTAAATACAGGACCTGAAATTATAAAACTACTAGAAAAAAACATAGAGAAAACACTCCAAGACGTTGTTCTGAGCAAACATTTTATGGAGAAGCCTGCTAAAGTACAGGCAACAAAAGCAAAAACAGACATATGGGGTCACATCAAATTGAAAAGCTTCTGTGCAGCAAAAGAAGCAATCAATAGAATGGGAGAAAATATTTGCAATGTACCCGTCCAACAAGGGATTAATATCCAGAATATGCAAAAGACTTAAACAACTCAACAGCAAAAATACAAATAATCCGATTTAAAAATGGGCAAATGACCTGAATAGACATTTCTTAAAAGAAGACATACAAATGGGCAACAGGTATATGAAAAAAATATTCAACATCACTAATTGTCAGAGAAATGCAAATCAAAACCACAATATCATCTCACCCAGTTAGAAAGATATTATTAAAAAGACAAAAAATAACAAATTACACACTGTTAGTGCAAATGTAAGATTAGTACAGCCATTATGTAAAATAATATGGAGGTTTCTGAAAAAACTAAATATAGAACTGCCATATGATCCAGCAATGCCTCTGCTAGATATTTATCCAAAGGATAGGAAATTGGCATACTGAAGAAATATCTGTACCCCCGTGTTTACTGCAGCACTATTCACATTAGTCAAGGTATTGAACCAACCTGGGTGGCCACTAACAGATGAATGGATGAAGAAAATGTGATATGTACATACAATGGAATACTATTTAGCCATGAAAGAGAATGATATCTTGTCATTCATGACAACATGGATGAGCCCAGAAGACGTTATGTTAAGTGAAATAAGTCAGGGACAGAAAGAGAAATACTACATGTTCTCACTTATGTGTTAGCTAAAATAAATAAACAAATAATAAGTTGAACTTCTAGCAGTAATCAGTAGAATTGTGGTTACTAGTGGCTGGGAAAGGGAGGAGAAGGCAAGGATAGGGAGAGGCTGGTTAATGGACACAAAATTATAGCTGGATAAGAAAAGTAAGTTCTAGAGGTATATAGTAGTACCAGGCATCTGTAAAGAAAAATAATTTATTGTATGTTATCAAGTAGCTAGAAGAGTTCAAATGTTCTCAACACAAAGAAATGATTAAGTTTTACAAGGATGAATATGCTAATTACCCAGATTTGATGATCACACATTGTATACATGTATTGAAATGTAACTCTGTACCCCATAGATATGTACAACTGATACATTTTGATTAAAAAAGTAAATACATACATTTAAAGAAAAAGAAAGATGTGTGGCTAAACTGGCATAGGAGACAAGATGTCCCAGAAAGAACGAGAGAAGAGGCAGCTTTAATAGATGATGATAAGCCCCTGGCATGTGTGACCCAATCAGATCTCC